ATCCTGCCAGCCTGGGGCTGCTCCCCCAATCAATTTGCTGCAGATGGTCTGGCTGGAGTACAAGAGAGTTTCAGCATAAGACTAGCTGGCAGGCACCCCCTGCACTAAAGCACCCTCATGCCCCTGTGAGTCCCAGAAGTGTCTACATGTGCACTGCTGTGAAGTTTTTTACTCTACAGAAAGATAGTAGTTGTATTTACAAGTACTATCCTGCTGCAGAGTAAATTAGTTTACTCCAGCCTAACAGAGGTGCACGTATAGATGACAAGACATTTACTGAGCAGCTACTTAGTCAACTGTGCAGTAAGCATCTCATGTAGAGAGCGCTCCTTGAGAGTCTTGATAGTAACTCCAATACTTCCCTGTCAGTCATTTGTAAACCTGACTTAATATCACTACATCAGAGTTAAACTTTTTACATAGAGCTGAAAACAGTCTGCAGGACTGTGAAATAGAAGAGAGATATTATGAAGAACTGTTGAAAGAAAGCAAAATTGCAAAAGATAGGGTAGTTTGCATGGTGGAACATCAAGGCAATTAGAAAGGAGAGAGGGTCCTTAACACCTGTGCAATCTTTATAGAGATTAGCAGAAATCAGGTAGATTATAAAAAGCCATGAAGTCCATTGCCTCACTCAGTACTCCCTGAATAGAAATGCCACTGCCTCTTCAGGCAGTTTTCAAGTTTGGGTAGAGCAGGAATAAAAGTGCAGTGCAACTGCACTACTGCAGCCGCCTGGATCCACCCCCACCCCTGGCATTTGCCATTAGACAAGCACCTGTTAAAAATTAAAAAATAAAAATAACTGGTAGCAGATAACAGAACCCAGGCATACCACCCCCCCCCACCCCCCGCCCAGGAGTGCCTTCTTCACTGGGCTACAGAATCAGGCTCCCATTTCCGTTTTCTCCTTCCATCCCCCTAACTCTTGAACTCTTTTCTGCCTACTTGTCTAGCTCAAAAAGAGGGTAAAGGATCACTTTCCCATCACCCTTATTCAGAATGGAGATTAAGCCAGGAGATTAAGACACTCTGTTAGGAAATAGGAAATAGGGATTTGAAGCTATGGTGCAAAATATGAGTGGCACCACTACCACCACCATTGTTTGAAAGAATCAATGGGTTCTGTACATTGAATGTCATTCAGGCAAAAGGTGTGCCATGTGAGATTAGGAATTAGGAAACTTTAAGCATGCATCTCAGCATATACCTGGAAAACAGATATTTTGCATAAAACGGCCCCATTATTATGTAGTTACTTTTCAGTTTAAAATTGCTCTGTGTTGCTACCTCCCAGGCCCATGGACTATGTATTAAAATGAAAACAGTGGGATGAGCCTCATGGCTAAGATGTATTTTTTCTCAGAGGCTAGAGTCCTCCATATTAAATTAGTCTTATAACATTAATGTTATCACTTCAGGGAGCTTAGGCTATACTTTCACTTTAGTATTAGTAGGGAATTCTGCAAATTTGGTAGGTCCCCCAGTGAAAAATCCCAGTCCCTTTGAAAAAGCATGAGGACCGTGAAAAAACAGTAAAACAGCAGTGAGTCCGCTGAGGGGGGGGAAGGGGGAGGGAGGAGGAAGGCAGCTCTAAACAGAAAAGTGTGGGAAGCCCTGACTTCCTGGAGCATGGGGGGGAAGGAGAGTGGAGGGTGATGAGGGAGATTAGACAAGGGGCCCTGGAAACTCCGCCCTTCCCCAGTGGTTGACAGATGGCCATCTCCAGGGAGGGGCAGAGGGGCCTCCAATGCTTCTTAGTGCCCAAGGGGCCCTGGAAGTCCCACCCCTCTCCAGAGATTAACAGATGGCCATTTGTCAATCTCCATCAAGGGCAGAAGGGCCCCTCCCTTGCCTCTGATTGAGGCAAAGGGCCCAAGAAGTCCTGCTCCTCATCTGATCAGAGGCATGGGGTGGCCACCATGCTCCACCACAAAATTGGCCCCCAACCCCATGCTGGGATCACAAAATACAAAGGTAGCATCTGTGAATTAGGTAGGTCCCTAAGTATTAGGTATCATGTGCCTGAGGCATCTGGGTATAGGCTAGTAAAATTTTGTTCTTTTTGTGCTGCCTTTTTGCTCAACTTTTCCTTCTCCTAATCATGCTCCTAGAATGAAGCTATTAATAAGACCAGTTATTGCAAGCCATTCTAGTATGCTAGCAGTGGATACTGAAGAATACTGTGTTGGTTGTTGTCCCCAAACTAAGGGCAGAAGAGAAAACGGATCAAACCAATTTATTCTAGATTACAGCTCACCTGTAAGACTTCATGGGACAGCATTATAGCCAACATTAAGATGACAATGCAAATTGTATATCATTATGGCAGTAATCATTATAGTTGGTTACTCATTAACTCAAAAGGAAACCGTGTTCCTTCTCACTGTATAACATACACTAAGCCTGATTTCCAGCAGTTTCTGACTCCTACAGCACTTGCCATCTTCATCTGGGCTTTTGAAGCCTTGGCACTTCTTTCCATGTCAAGATTTATTAAACTTCTACTTTTAGAGTCATACACATTTCACTCTGAGTACTGCTCACCTCCAGGAAGAAAACCCTGAAACAGTACAGAAATAGCCTCACAGAATGCAATCTTTTAACTTATAGAAACCATCACCGTGGGCTGCAAGTGATTTAAGTTTGATAGGGAATAATTGACACCAGCATGGTCCATTAAACACTATCAGCGTCTCCTGTTCCCACCCATGTAAGACTGGTCATCTGTTTTTAATTATTATGGAGTACTATACTTTGAATAGTTTGGCCCTATTCAGATCTCAAACAGGCTTTTTTTTAAGGAACCTATTTCAAAAGAATGTTAGAACAAAATTTTGACCACACATAACTGATTCCTTTTATATGAATTAAAGATGTTAGATTCCTATAGGAACATTTACCATGAATAAAGGACTAGATACTCTAGAATGTTTTTTTTCCCATTTTTCCAGAAGTACTATTTTTGTTGACTTGGCCAAAGAAACTATCTATTGGTCATACAAATGGTTGAAAATATATCATCTTTACGTTCAAATTTTAAGTTGTTTCTTGTATTTTGTTTAAACAAAATAAAAACAATTAAAAAATTAAAAGATTTACTCTCCCATTACCAAAAAGTTAGAGAAATTTATAGCAAAACAGTATCATAATGCAACTAAAAACAAACAAAAAACCATCTTTGAAATACAGTTTTTAACCTTTAAAATATGATTGTTGGCCAAATATTTTTTCAAACAAGAGCATGCATGACACATTGATGTACAGCAGCATTGCTACTGCGCTGAGCTTTAGTACTTTTTTTGGGTCCTTTTTTTTCTTTCCTTTTTTTCCTGATCTTTCATGTATATAATCCTATTCATTCCAGGAAGAATTTTCAGCTATATATCTTGCTTCCACTTCACAGAAAATGCATTTGAGCTAGTGCTTGTGGTAAATTTTTTAAGTTCTGTGTGGGGTGGGGTGGGAGTGGATGCATATTAATGTCAGTTAAGATCCTATGTGAAGCTTTGAAAATATATTCCTTACAAGTATTCAAAGTCTGATTTTAATTCTGTTCATTATACAGCCCTCAGTGCACTTAATTGAATCCTTACATGGGTGTGTTCTTTTCACATTTGTTCTTCATCCTTAGTCCCTGAGTAGAGACAGTTATTTTTTCACAAGCTCATGTTCTTAGTTTATGTGTCTTAGAAGTTGTATGATTTATTTTCTGGCCTTTCACAGCTGCTGGATCTAAGGATTGTGAAGTTTGTGATCTTGCAACCCTTGCACTGGTAAAATTCCCACTGAAGTTAATGAAAGTAAAAGATTTCAGGATCAGAACTCATGTCAGTTCATTTATGTCCACCACTTTATATGGAAATTAGTGTGTGTGTATACAGCATGTACAGCAGTTTAAGTACATGGATTCATTCACTGTGTGTATATATATGTTATCATGCATTATTCCCAGTTTGCCTTACCTCATTAACATTCATGTTTCATCCAAGTTCACCTCTTTCTCATCTTTATTACCAGCTACTGTAAATGCTACTACTCCTACACCACCCACTGTCACCACTAACATGCCCGATACTAATAGAACCGATAAGCCAAACAATGGTAAGAAATCCTGAATTATGTTTTTCCTTGTACTATATCTAGAGAAAGTTTCTTGTGTTTTAAGGTTTGTTTGTATGTTTCCTTTTTCTAGTAATATCATAAAAGTTAAGGTTGACATACTGGCCTTGATTCTGACTATACCTATGTGAGCATAAATCAGGAATAACATCATTGAAGCCATCTATATAAAAGTGATATAACCTAGAGTATTGCTTTAGCTCAGGGGTTGGTAGCCTTTTGCTGCTGTGGCATGTAAGTCTCTGCTCTCATTTGCACTTACCCCCCCCACCAATCCCTACCTCAGCAGCAATGGAAAGGGGCAAATTCTGTAGTAAGGGTAAGTACAGGTACAAGAGAGCACCAAGAAGAGCTGTGGAGGGGGTGCTCTGTGGAAAGGTTCGACGCCCTGGTTTACTGGGACCTTTACTGGCCAAATCCAACCTCTTCACAGGCCAGGTCCAACCCCCAAGCTGTGTGTTGCTTACCACGGTTTTAGCAAGTTTGCATATTTCTTGCAATACTGCTACATTTCAGTTCATACATTGATTATATTGTTAATTTACTAAACTTCAAAGAACAAAGAGCCCAGAAAAATATTTTAAAAGAAGGGGGCAAGAATAGTCGCATGATTTGAACATATTAACACCACTACTGTTCAGGTGCCATGTAACTACCACTTTTTCAAATAAACTGGTAGAACTTTGGATGGCCTATTTCCCACTAGTAACTTTCAGGAGGAAATGACAACAACTTCCACTTCCAATAGGAATTTTTCCATTTACTTAACAGTGGGATGAATCTGGTTGTTTTAAGGGAAATACTAACAGCACCAGTATGATGAACTTTTAATTCAGAAAGATCGGGGAGAGGAGGGGGTGGGAATGAATGATAACTAATGAAGCTATTGGCACCATACTGGAAAGCAGAGATTTCTTTTAACATTTTGTTGAGAAACTATAATACAGTGGCATTGCTGATTGTCTGTAAAATCTTACAAAATAACTCAAAATTCCATTTCTGTGAGGATTTCACTTTCAGCAGGCTCCAGAGCATTAAATCAATGTTTATGTGCTTTTAACAAATGCATCCATTTATACTGCTATATTCCTTTTGTTTAGTACTTGACCATAATTTAAAAGCAAGAAGCCAAATCCCAAAAGTATTGAGTCAGTTATGTCAATGGGTGCTTAGTTACTATTTATGAAGCTAATCTCTAGATGTTCATACCAAACAGTTACCCTAATTGTAAGAATAAGACAAAGATTTTTCAGAGACTTCTAAGGAAACTGGATGCTCAGCTACCATTAATATGAATTAGGAACTGGATGTTCCAATTTTCTGGGTGGCTTTGAAACTCTCAATGAAGAGCAGGAAGACTAAGAGACAGTGAGCCAAATTTAGACTTATTATAAGCAAATGCACTAAGCTTGATGCCTGACTTAAGAAAAGTCAGGAAGATTACGCAAATAATGTTTTCTTTTTCTATCCATTAACTCTGTGGCTGACTACACATAGACCTGCAGGAATTCAGAGTTCCTGCTGCAGTTATCTTCAGAATGAAGAGAAATTCAGCAGACAGCTCCCATCCACTACTACAAGGGCAGCAAGATTCTAAAATAAAAGGGGTCAAAAACATAGGAATCATCTCAACACCAATTATTTGGCCAGTGAGACAAAGACCTCTCCATCCCAGTAAAAGTCCATCAGTCGAGGAACAAAACCCAGAGAGAAAAAATACATACAACATGTTCCCTCTCTATACTTTTGAGACCACATCGCCTGCTTCTGGGGAGCCTGAAGTTGGTAGCTTGGTTCCTTTTAAAGAAAATATAGGCATAGAACATAGTATTACCACGAATCAGTCAATCAGTAAGAGTATTTCAAATAATCCTAGCAGTTTCCTAAGTGAGACTCATGATATAGAACAAATTCTGACAGCTCCTGTAAGTACAGATTATTCCAAGAATGTAGTAGTTCCTCCGTTGCAGACTGGAAGTTTTGGTGCAGAACTGACATGGACTTTGCCTAATACACTGGAGTATCCATATCCTAATTCGGAGTCAGCATTCCAGTCTCCAGTTAGCAAAAATTCCCTTAATGGACATACAAAAGAATCCCTGTGGATCTTTTCCTCTTCCACACATGAAAGCACATATGGAGTTTTGGAATCCTCAGTTTGGTGGAATAAAGCTACTTCATATCATCCTGTCACTCCTGACATTCCAAAAGAAAACTATCATTCTCAGTCTAGTTTATTTGTTTCTTCTACTCAGGAGTTGATGTATCAGAAAAGTAGGCTGGACTTACTAAAATTTGCTCTTTCAAATACTCACCTACTACCCTCTAAGAGAATTATAGAAGATCCATTTAGGAATAGCCCATATATTCCAGCATTAAATGATGAATTGCAGCCTACAAGAGCTAAATATTCTAAGAAACAACATTCAGCGGACCATACAAACTTAGCCCCCAAACAGTCACAGCCATCAACCCCATCTCATTTCTTCCAAAATATGCAAGAAGTACATACAGAAGTCATGCCTGATATCCAGTCACACATTCTTCTAACACGTGAACACAGCACAGAATTAGTGAAGTGGCCATTACGCTTACTAGGAACAAGCAAGACAAGTTCAGAATTTCAACATGCTGTTACTACTTTATCTGTTTATCAAGAATCCTTTAATAATGAATATTTGAAAAGTGACTTGTTTCCAGTTAGACCTTTGACCAAGTTGCCAAAAGAGCAAAATGACAAGTCATCTCCAGAGCAAGAATTTGAACTCAACACAGGTATTTACAATATCAATGATATGCCTCATTCTTTAAAACCCATGACAAATTTGCAAAGGAAACCAAATGAGATCCCTGGAATTGAAATATTGGAGGATAATTTAAATGCAATTCATAATGATAACCTACAAGATGATTCTGTTATTTCCACACAAGAGTCAGAAAACAGGAGAAACTCCTTGAAACAAGGTCACATAGTTGTTCCAACACAGTATGTAGATATTGCTCCTTCTTTATTAGGAAATTACTGGACCATGTATTACCATTCCAAACAAGAGACTCCTGGGTTTTCTGGGGAACCTTCAGAAAGGGGGTCATTCTTATTTAATAAACCACTTTTTTCCCCAACAGAGAGACTGCCATTTGTCAGGTCCCCAACTGAACTTGATAGTATTCCTATGCAAACTACCACCAATAATGTATCAGGTTATGTAATAAAAGAAGTGAACTTTGCTAGCTCTGTGCCATCTTTGACTGTGGAAAGCTCAAGTTCAATGGTTGTGATTCCTTCACTAAAGAGTTCAAAAAGGGCTGAAAGGACAGCATCACAGTTAAAATCAATAATGGCTGTTTCTCCTAACATAAATGTGTTGGCAAATGATACGTTTTCGTTTGATTTTCCTTTCCCTTCACTAGAAAAATCTTCAAGCAAACCTTTCATACACTTACAGACCACTACCACTGATATTGCCCAAGCAATTTTCACAAACAGTTTAACTAGTTTAACTATGAAAACTTGGGATGAAAGTGTACATGACAGTCAAGTTAATATGGCCTTCCAGCAACACAGACAGACATTTGCTTCAATCCTTCGCACACACTCAACAGTCCAACCTTCATGTACAAGGAACAACCATACTTCCTGCATGGTCAACAAATCAGCTCCAAGTTCAGTTAGTGATAAAGCCAAAGTGCCATCAGTATTACAAACCATCATGGAAAGCACTTCAGGGACAATAGTTATAGAACATGAAAAAGACAAAGCTCAGGCAGATTTGGAACTTGATTTTTCAGAAACTTACAGTTCACCAAGTTCTAACTCCTTCATAATGCCATTGTCTTTAGAAACAACACATGCTCTTCATTCAGAACAAAAAATCAGGTCTAGAATATCTCTTAACAGTTACTCCACAGCATGTGTCTTTTCTACACCCCCACTGTCACAAGACCTTCCAAATTACTTTGACCAAATGTCTCCAAGCTTGAGTTATCTACAGAATGTAGGAAGTAAAAGTCACCTGACTATTGTAGGACAAAAATCTATTGAAGATGGAGACAGCATTCTGACATCTTCTCAAACAGCACAAATGGGAATGATCTATGATGATGTGAACTCCAGAAGTGCTACTTTATTGACATCAAATACTGAATTGGGGTTCTCAAGAGGAGAATCAAAGTGGGAGGTATACAGTTCTTTTAACAAGCACACTGAACAGTTTATTCAAAAAGGAATGTCTTCTTTGACCACTAGTAATATTTATGTCTCTGATTTGCAACTACAAACAGTACCTCAGACTTCTGAAGACTATGCTGGTTATGGAAAATTAGCCAATCTTTCTTCTGTTTTGGAACCAACAAGAATTTCAGACTTAACTAGTACAATATTTCTGTCATCTCCACACCTTGGGACTATCGTTCATGATAGTGAGAACATCTTAAACTACACTCTAATGATAACTGGAGCAGCAGCCATCCATCATTCTGTTTTGCAGTCCCAAATTTCAGCTTCTCCAGTAAAGTACCATCAGTCATCCATTTCAGCACATGCAAATTCCTTAGCCAATTTATCTGCTTCAGCAAGCCAAAACTCTACCCCTTATACACCACTGAACCTACTTACCAGCTCTCCCAGATTAATTTTATCTTGTTTATGTAACTCCTTCGCTGACTTGAACTGCCCATGTGGACCTGAGGCCAACTACAGTATGTCAAGGCATTAAGCTAGATGTAGAAAAAAATCATCTCATCTGCTAGATATGCAGTTTGTAGATATAGAATTTTATATAGAAATACCTGGGTTTAGTGCTTATACATAGCTTCATGTAGTATAAGACTATAGAATAGTCATTTAACAGTAGTAGGGAATTTGTAACATCCTTCAAATACAACTTTAAACATAGCATATTCCATTAATAATATAGGGTCTCCAATTGCTGTCTTCCTAGTTACTAACCAGCAAAGCTCTCAGGAGACTACAGGGATAACTGATGATCATCTGTTTACTATCCCCTCCCCCCCCACACACACACCTTCAGCCCTGATATCCAATATTTTTATTTTATTTTTAATTTAGTTTAGATTTTCTTTTTCATTTATAGTACTTACATTTTTATGATGTGGGAGGATTTAAATTTTGAAAAACCAAAGATCAAGCTCAAATTTAACTAGGAAAACTTTGGAAAATCTGAATAGCATAGGAAAAAATCCAGTTCTGATAATTCACTTAAACTTATATATTTGGAATTTTCACTCCTCACTGCCAAATTTTCTCAGTGGTGTCTGATGGTTTTACATCAGTTATCTTTTTGTGAGAAGAATTTTCTGTAATCGATATTCTGAAGATAGTAACAAATACCTTTCCTTTAACCAGGGGAAAGTGAAGCACTTTTCATTTTTGCCTGTTGTTGTTCTCTAGTTTCCTGAGAGTGATGACAAATGTAGAGTAACGCTTTGCTAGTCTGACTGCATCTTGCTTTGGGTCACCATCTGGTGGTTGGTGTGAAACTATTTAGCACTAGTTTATAAAATGTATGTATAAATGTTTATTTTTTGTATATATATCCTACATTGAGATGATTTCATTCACATATGACACTCATATATGCATATATAAGCATGCTATCCTATGTATAGACTATATGAGTATATATTAATATATGTAATATATGAAGTATATATAATGCAGCACTATATACACATGTGTTTGTATATGCTGATATAAAACACATGGTATATGAAGCTTTATGTATACTCTAATGTGTATATACATGATACACACACACAATGAGACTACAAACTCTAATATTAACAAGAGTTTTATGTGCCCCAGAATGTGGGTTCCAATATCTTTCAAGACACTAAAAAATAGAGAAATAGAGAAAAATTGACAATAAAGAAGAATTGACAATAAGTTACAAACTATATTCAATATTTCTAACTTTTGTAATACCATGTTTAATGGACAGGTGGGCTGTTCTACAGGATTTCTATTACTGTCTACAGTTCCAACATTGACTCAAAGTCAGAAGTACAGAATGTGGTGGCAAAATGGGTAAGCTGAGTTTCTATTAATGCAGTAGTACCTGAATTAATTTGTCCAACAGATTTCATCAGTCTGAAAGAATTGGAAGAAAGAGGGGGCGTCAAATAATCCAGCTAGGCTAGTGTGAGCTGTATAGAATAGCATTTTTCTTTATGCTACTTCTTTGCACAGCGCCTATTACAGGAGGGGAAAGATGGAAGGGCCTTGATCCTTGTTTGAATTATAAAGCCTTATGAGTAAATTTTTTTCTAAGAGAGAACCGTAAATCCTGTTTTCTTAAATGACTTGGGCACTCAGAGCCAGATATTTCAAAAGTTATTTTAGATCTGGCCTGTCCATCTAGCAGGCTGTGAGCTGCTTGCAGTCCACAAGGAGTTAACTTGCAGCTCCCAGGCTCCCTCTTGGATGCTCCTGTCATTGCTCTTGCTGTTGCTTCCTGGAGCCTCTGGACGCCCACTCCCTCTTCTGGCTTGTGCTTCCTGTCCCCACCCATGTATGTGGGGTGGCATGTCCCAAAGTCCCCAGGTTTCTGGGATCAAGGTGGCCTATGCCATGGTGGAACCCTGAGGCAGCTCATGCAAAAGGGCAGACCACAGAGACAGGGGAGCCTGTGTGTTGGGGAGGGGGACACACAGCAAGAAAGCCTGCATGGTGTGTGGCCCAGGGGTGCATGGCCTGCAGGGATGCAGCCCCAAGGTGTTGAGAATTTGGGCAACCCTCTCTTAAGTGTGGGATTTTGAAAGCACCCGAGCACCTAGATCACCCATTAAATTAAATGGGTGATTGGGCTTTCAAGTCATGGATTAAGTTTAGCCTAAGTTATATAGGCACTTTTGGATATGTTCCGCTTGAACAGAAATAAAAATAACAGCAAGGAGTGCTCATTTAAAATAAACACTTTAAAATCAAGGTTTTTTTACCCTACTCCATCATTATGTACTTCACCAGTCTTTAGCTCTAAGGTTAGCAACTGGGATTCCCTGCAGTTGTACCAGTCTTTGAGGCAATGTGATTAATTTGTTTGTTTGTTTGTTTGTTTTTAAATGAATTCATGGGCCCTCTGGATAAGGAACTCATGAACTTCCTCACTACATGCCAGGTTTTAATACAGAAGCTTCCTCTCTCTTTCATTTACAAGGGCAAAGAGTACTTACCTCATTTGCAGTTCCGCATGGCAGGCACTTGCATGGAAAAATAATATTCTAAAAGTATTACACTGAATTTTTTCCTGGTAATAGCATTAGATTTAGAATTTAGAGAAAGCAGTACCACCAGCAATCGATAGACCAGAATTAGATATATACGTGGAACCAGGCACGCTTTCTACATTTGTCGTAAAACCTAGAAGGTACATTTGTTAATTGCAGCAGGTATTTCCTATGCAAGGCTGGGTTTATGTTAAGAAAAGGAATCTGGAAATATGAAACCTTCCAAATGTAGCTGGCCATGCAGAACTGGATGATCTGTAAACAGAGATCTTTAAAGTTATGAGGAGAAAGTCAGGAAATAATAGTCATCAGGTATGAAAAACATCCTCATCAAGCTGCTGTTGGCATAATAAGGTCTTCAGTTGCAATATTTCTTAGACCAAGGGAAACCTGATGTTGTTTCATCTAATGTTGATGTTTGATCTTAGCATTTCATATGTAATTAACAGCTTTAAAGCAAAAGTGTACATCAAGTGTGAGACTGCTTTGAAATATAAAATAAAATAAATAAGTATTCATATTTATAAAAGAAGGAAAATGGGACATTTCTTGTTTATGGGGCATTTTGGACTTTGAGCCAGGACACACCTCCTTCCTCCCTTTTCTCATATTAGGAAAGTTATTATAGGGTTTAGATCTGTGTACAAATAAAATTATTCTTTCTATCTTTCTTTCTTTCTTTCTTTCTTTTATTTAGGGATTGATGGCAGGGGTGGATGACCATGATAAGTTTTTCTTTTTACTTTTGCAAAAGTCTAAAGATAATTAAATGAATCCTAAAATTAAATAAAGTGTTTCTCTCTGTCTGTGGAAGGCTTTGATAATACAATATCTGAGGTGATACTTGAGCCATGTTTAAAGCTAATTTACTGATCTAAACCATGTTTTTAAGTTAAAACTCTGTAAATCAATAGCCTTGCCCAATGTGTAAAATTTTAACTTAATTCAAGGGATAGAAGAAAAAAATAACTTAGACTCATTATCTTTTTTGGTGGTTTGAGGTGGGTGTTTTTATCTATGTAGAAAGCCAGTTTGTATTGTAGCTTTTCTCTGTCCTTTTATATAATAAATGTTTGCTTTAGTATGCTATGGAGAGGGCAGCATGTTTGAGAGATGTAAATTAAGTTGCAACTTTTTGGAGCATGATGATCTTCTGACAAAAGATGTATAGGTAAGGTGTTTACATGGTAATAGAGGGCTTTGAATCTGTGATAGATTGTATGATTAAAATAAAGTGTAGGGGTTTGATGGATGGATCTGGTGGGTCAAATGTGCACTGTATTCTTAGACTCATAGGATCATAGAATAGTAGGGATGGAAAGGACCTCTGGAGGTTATGTAGTCCAACCCCCTGCCTGAGGCCAGATCATCCATATCCAGTATGGGTGTGTGAAGCTTCGGTCTCCAATTTGATTTGGAAAAGATTTGGCCTGATTCAGAGGCCAAATCACCAAATCCAAATCAAATTGGGAGACCAAAAATACCTCTGAATCAGTTCAGAAAAGATTTGGGAAAAGATTCAGAGATTTGGATATTCAGAAGGCAGTCTTTCAGGGGAACAGAAACTGAGAAGAGGGAGGGGGAGCAGGGGGGAAAGACAGATATCTCTAGCTGGCCAGTGACTGTGATCTTTCCCTGAATCCCCTTCCATTCACAGTGCTCTGGGGGGAGGGAAATAGAAACAGCATATAAGCCTCTATCTGCAGGCTTTCTATCCCTTTTGTGAACCATTTCTGCCTGAGCAAAAGAGGGGCGGGCAGCTGGCCCAGAAACAGGTGAGTGGGCAGAGATCTAACTGGCACCAGGAAGGCCCCTGGTTATAGGCTACCACCCCTGCTGTTTTCATCTAAGTCTGCCTTAACACACACAAGTGACACAAGTTTTGCTTTCAGCAGTTTGAGGTGCAGCTTCCCAGAAACCCCTGCACCTATCTCCTTGAAACTTGGCAGGCTTCTCTCTGAATCAGGGCTGAATCTTCCAAAGCCAATTTGGCCGAATTGATTCAGGACAGTGATCTGAATCTCTGAATTGAATCACTGTCCTCCGAATCAGCTGAATCCGAATCCGAATCAAATACTTCCCTATTTGCACAGGCCTGTTACCCAGCTCATTTGATACAATTCGTTGTCTAACCTATTACTAAAACTACACAGGCAACCCTGTCACATAACCACAGAACACAACACTTTAACCTGCTCTAACAGGTAAAGCGGGGAGACAACAATGGCCAATGGCCTGCTGATGCAAGAGTATTAAAATACTTTTGAGAGATTTAAGGAAGAGCCCCCTCTCCCCCTCCCTGCCCCGCCACTACAGAAGGAAAAAACCTCACAGTATTTACCAACTTAATCTGACCCTGAGTGGAGGGGCAAGACTTTCTCTGAGTTTCAATAATAGAATCATAAAAAATAAGGGTTGGAAGGGAGCTCAGGAGGTCATCTAGTCCAACCCTCTGCTCAAGGTAGGACCATCCCCAACTAGATCATCTCAGCCTAAGCTTTGTCTAGCCGAGTCTTGAAATCTTCCAAGGATGAAGCTTCCACCACCTCTCTGGGTAACCTGTACCCTCCTCATGAGACCTAAACTTCCCTTGCCACAACCTGAAACGATTGCTCCTTGTTTTGTCATCTGCCACCACTGAAAACGATCTAGCTCCATCCTCTTTCAAATCCCGTTTCAGGTTGTTGAAGGCTGCTATTAAATCTCTTCTGTCTCCTCCCTAATGTCTATGAAATCTATGTAATCCTCTTCTCTAGGCTAAATAAACCCAGTTTCCTCAGTTTTTCCTCATAAGCCATGTCCCACAGGTAAGTCATGTCCCCGGGAGGGCTGCAGGTTGGGGGGCTGTGCCAGGCTCTTCCTGGGGGGCGTGTTTCCCCAGATCTGTGTGCGGGACAACAGGCTGCTGCTGCAGGCTGAGGCCAACAGCAGCACTGGGCTGTTCCTGGCACTCAGCGTGGCCCTCCTGGGGGTTGTAGAGCAGCAAGAGGCACATCCCACCCACACCCACTGACAGTTCCTTCCACAACTGGTGCCAGCTGCTCCTGGAGCTGCTGCAGCAGGGGCTAAGGTGAGTGCGGACAAGCTGCACTGTGCCGTCAGCCCCATGACCCATTCCCCTCCCCCCACAGACTTACCTGATTGGATGGGGGGCACCTATGCTAATCGCATAAGAGTGAATTTACCTCACATATAATGAATGATGGGTCTAAACATGCTCATTGCATAAGAGTGAATTCACATATACAGAACCTGCATAAATCGAGGGAAACCTGTACTCTGTTTGCTTCTTACTGCCCTACTGCTTGTGAATAACCTAGGGCTGCACTCTCTCACCCTGCGTTATGAGAGAACTGCACAGTGCAAACCTAGTCTTCGAAGCAGTTTGGTTCATTCAGATGGTTCATACAGCATGGACATAAAGGGGATCAATGGTAGAGGTGTATGATTAAATTGCTTGCAGTTCTGCCTAAAGAATGGGAGACCTTGCATCTTCAAACTGCATCAAATACAGCCTACTTTGCATGCTAATCCCACAATGAGGTTGGAATGGAATCAGTTATGGTGTGTGGATTACCTGTTATACTGAAAAGTCTGATGAAATCTCTCACTGATGTGCTTTAGGAATCACTGAATATGGAGCTTTCGTTCTGTAGAATGGGCCCAAGAACATGTTATTTTCCCAACCAGTATAAAGTGTCCTTTGACAGAATACAGGTGAACAAACTTAGAATGAATGTTCATGGCAGGCAACAAAGACTACCTCCCCAGTAGTAGCACTCCTCTTAATTCTCCGTCTTTCCTTAAGACCACAGTCTGGGTGGGGAATAAAATGTTATCAGAATCTGCTTCACCCTCTTCCCCTCACCATCCAAGGTTCCCCTTGCTAATTCTTCTCAGTCTTGAGAATCTGTCACTGTCACACATGATGGCAATGGCACTCCACTCGATCCAGTCCCCACAAGCAAGCAAGCAAAACCAAACCAAACCGTGCATGGTGTCTGCAAATAGTAGGCTTCATGGATCTCTGACCTCTATTTGTGAGCTGTTTAGGTGAGGAGAGAGACAAATAAGTAATTAATGTCTTCAAGCACTACACTCTTTGACTTGGTATCCAATAAAGTCAATGGTAAAATTCCAGTTGTCTTCGAAAGGGCAAGTCTGAACACCTACTGCAAGTTTAAAAATATTTCCAATACAGGATTAAAACAGAGGCTCTGCAGCATCTTATAGGCTTTTGATGAAACCATAACATTATAGTTTCCACAATATTCAGCATCCAAAAATCTTTTCCAACCACATCCTCTCTATAAATAGTAGCATGGGGGTTTAAGTGTCTCTTGTACTTGTCTATTCTTACAAAGTACATTTAGTGAAGTTCTCCCCACTGAAACGCCCCACCCCAATAGGAAAAAAACCCAAACTTTATAAAGGAATAATTTCACAGGAATGGGAAGACGGTCTCTGTTTTTCTACATAAAGGTGATAAGCAAGGGCAAGAGAGAACTTTGTGTGGTGGTAGAGAGGATGGACAGGGTTCTGAAGTGGGTTTGTGTTTTTATTCTTCTTTTCATGAATAATGTAGTACTACTGCATCCTTATGATTATTTTCTTTGTATTTTTCAGCTAAATCAAACCTTCCAGAAGTGGAATTATACTGTGTTTGTGGTCAATATCAGGTAAATGTCAGTGCTGACTATTGATTAAATATCAATAGAATAGGACTCTGCTCTAATTGATTCTTATGTTTCTCTTCTTTAAAGTATTCAGTCAAGCACTGTGACAGAAGGGATGAAGGAGAAAAGAAGCATTGGTGGTCAAAGGTAACTTTCTTGTTGATTTTTTTATTGGTAAAGGTAAATCCGCTACTGAAATCAAATGAATTCATGATTACACACTATGGGCCGCAACCTGCCATTTCATAAATATTTGACTTGTGAGGCACAGATGTACCTTGCATCAATATCATGACAGTTATTTCATTTAAATTACTTTGGTCTTAACTACCTACTGTACTGAAGGTAGCATAAGTCACCAAGTCTTATAAAACTTAGCTAATCATGTTTCCAACTTAATTTTTACCCGTCACAGAATGTTGCTGACTAAGTTCACATCCATGGTAAGCCAAGTAAATTCTTCTGTTGCAGCATAATCTACTTTCTGAAATGGCAGATCTCAATCTTTTAGAACCCCTAGTAAACCTCTGTCCCCCTCTGCAGCCTTATCTTCCCACAGCCTGTCAACTCACAGTCAACTCCACCCCACTCTCAAAGCTCACTTTGTCTTGTCCATAATCCACAATCCTGTAGCCAACCTCTCCCCACCCCCACAATCCATTCTAACAATCATTTGGTATTCTAAATAAAACTATTAAGTAAAAAAATTAAACATCCAACCCAAAAAAGCCTTCAACTGCAATCCAAACTGTGTTGTGATATTTAAAAAGTTTTCCTGAGAGGTAAAACCACATCAAAATCACTTTTTGTTAAAGATAAACACATTCAGTAGCAGGATTTCATCATATTTTTAAAAACATTTATCTTAGCTCATGGAGTTTGTTGCTGTTTCAATCTCCAATTTATCCCACTATATTTACTTTCATATTGTAAGGAGTTAGTACAGCTGCTGTAAAATTAATCTAGCTATTACAAATGTTCTTAACATCGAATAATGGATTGCTGGATGTGTGCACAGCAAATAAACAAGTCTCTTCTTGACACTTTACTCCTCACATGTGATTTCCAAGTCAATGTGACGGCATATAAGTTTTATATTGAACAGTTTTGTAGAACTGTACAATATAAAAAGCCTGGTAGCAAAAACAAATGGAGTCAATGAAAATGTTTCTTTTGACTACAGTGGCCTATGGATGAGGACCAAAATACTATCTTCATTTATGATTTTAAATGCTTCTTATGTCATACATGATGAAAGCATACTTTATAGAATCTTGTGTTATTATATTATACATACCACATAAGACCAATAGTAAAACTCATGTTAAATTCTACCTTTCAATACGTTGGATAACCTAATCAAAGTTACTGGTATTGCATGGTTTAATAAAGAGTGACATTTAACCAAATGGGTATTCTGTGGAAAAATTAGAAATCATACTGCCTATATTTCTAGAGTTGCTTGGGGGGGGGTTTAGTATTACTATACTAGCACACTGTTTCATTTTCATTGCCACATACTGTGAAATATGTAGGGAAAATCTGTGCTCTTCCAGTTCTGTGGGCTAAGCACATGTACATTTACCATAATTCACTGCCCCTTTATTGCCAAAAAAGGAAGTTTAGCTTACCATTCATTTTCACTAATCCTGTGTCTAACAACCAGTCTTTCAAATCCTTGAGGTTCACATATGTTTAAATATAGTCATTTGCAATATTTACAAAAAGGAAATCATTTAGATCTCAGATGAAGGCCCAGAAAACTACCTTTCTTGTTACTTTCTCCTGATTGTTGACTTTAAAATGTTTGTTTAAATTTTCCAGTTTCAGGTTTGTCTTGGATAAGACTCTAAAGAAGCCATAAGGCCCTTGGAGTGTAATTTCTGGCTATAAAAAGTTAAAAAGTTATGAGTATAAATCTTTATCTCAAAAGCAGTCAACTTTTTTTTTTGTTGGGGTGTGGGGGAGTTAGGTTCTTATACTTTGAGGATGATCTGGTGGAAAGCTAGAGCTAATTTCTTCTAATTTTCTTGCTCCTGAAGGTTTTTCATATGTTCTTTGGTAATTAAGTTTTCAGTGATTTAGGTTAATTTTCTCTACTATGGATGGTTGTAAATCAGTGATTCTTAACTTGGTTGCCACAGCAAACATGATTCACAACATAAACCCAGAGATTTCAAATAGGAATCCATAGTGTTAAAACCATTCCAACCCATTGTGGCCTTTCTGAGGTATTTGCAATAGAAGAACTGATGTATTATTTTTCTGTAATCAATAAAAACAAGTGCAAACTAAGCTGGTATTCTCTGAGGGGTGCCTTGAGTCTATTGACAGGTGCCTCGAATCTTAAAAGGTTGAGAACCACTGCCTTAAATAAACCTTATCCCTTAGTTGCAGGAAGCTCTATACTTAATCTGCCTACTAGTATTTCATCTTGCTTTTAAATATTTTTCATTTGATTCTCCTTCAGATTGTTTTAAAACTAAAACTTCAGTATTAGCCCATAAGCAAATATGGCCTTTGCCCTTATCTTCCATATAAATTAATTTATTTGCTTTTGTCTTATTGAATCTTACATTCATTTGGTTTTCTGTAACTTTGTCTTCATATTTCTAACAGATCATTGCCTTGGTTCCTTAAATTAACCTTTCTTAGTATATGCTCTTTCTCTTGCATTCTCCAGCAATTTTTTAACATTCTCACTCTTTCTCTTCCCCCAGCCTATGTTTCACTCTTTCATGCAATATTTTAAAAATAATTGCTCACAAACTGTTCATCTTTTTCATTTGCACTTCTTTTACTGAATCTCCTTTCAACTTTATTTGGTAGATTGCCAGCTGTAACTTTTAAAGTAGCCTCAGCATTGTGCAATTCACAATCCATCCTACCTACAAGTGAAGGAGTCATTATCAATAGAAACAGAATAATTCAGCCTGACAAGTGGGACCTGGCAGTGAAAGACAGGAAGCTGTCATTTTTGTCATGTTAAAAATAGCCATTTTCTAAAAAGATGTGTTAAAACTCTATTAGATTCTGGGGAAGAGCAAAAGGAAATGAAAATATGGAAATGGCTTGTTATTCTTATATTACTGAGCTCTATGAGCTGACACAATCCAAAGTACACTATGCTTATGATGTATTCATTGTACATGGTGATGAGGAATGTGTGAAGTGCCAAGTCCAAAAGTGCATATCATGATCAGCACCTTGACCCATGCAAAGATCTCTGGATACCAGCAATGTAATATACTGCTTTAGTGGATTATTAACTCTATGAAAAAATGATTTTTTTATCATAACTCTACTTCAATGTTTATGCATGTTTAATTTTCTTATCTTATTAGCAATAATCAGAAGGTACCCCTTCAAAGTAGAGTTGAACTTCAAATGGGATATAAATATAATAGTTTGTGATCATGGTGGACTTTGACTCCATGAATTTTAAAGTTTAAAAATAAAATAAATTTGGCGAGTTCTTTCTGCACAAAAAATTGCATGTATGTTTGTTTCTTTCATTGATTCCTTGCCCTTTTTGACACTACAGTAATGCTACACATTTCTGCTACTGCTGCTGCTGCTTTTCCCAGAAAGGTGCTTCAGATCCTAGGTGTAGCCATATGACCAAGGTTGGGTCAGTTGGGTAAGAAAAATGGCTTCTGCAGACCCATTCAGCACCCCTGCTTTCCTTGAGCTTTTTTGGTAACACCTTTGCAGACCTTAAGCTTTGATCTCATTTACAAGCTTTTCTCCTCTTAACACCCAAATCAGATGACACTTGCTGCAACTTCCACCACTTGATTGTGATAATGTTGGTCCATTCTCTGTAGTTAATCACTCCTACCATGGAAAATAGCAGTAATGCTACTACTGTTTAACAACTCCAAATAAAAATACTGTTAACCATTGGTTTTGAAGATAAGTTGCTAAACCTAAGTAGAAATCTCTTCTTAGAAAAGAAAAGAGCTGAGAAAGACAGGCCCAAGCCCAGGCCCAGTCTTGCCTACTGAAGTCAGTGGGAGTTTTACTGTCAGTTTCAATGGGAACACTCAAGCTTCTGATGAATTCTTGGTGCTAGTTGTTTAATGGAATGTGGGATGGGAAGGATCCTTCAGATTAGAAAGACTTAGACACAAGATGTTTACTGCGAGCTGACTAATTAGCTCTGTGATAAAGCATCAGCATCTACATGTGTTAGGCCAGAGTAAACTAATTAACTCCACTGTAGGATAGCACTGCCCAACACAAGTACTATCATATAGCAGAGTTAGTTACTCCACTGCACCACATATGTAGATGCCAGCCAGAGATGTCTGGGGCATGAGGGTGCTACAGTGTGGAGCTGCCTGCTGGTTAGCCCCGCACTATGGCACCCTCCTGCCCCAGCCAGCCCCTCCACAGTACACTGAACCAGGTCAGAGCAGCTCTGGGCTGCCTGGCTGACTTCTGGGCTTCTGCTCGCCAGGGCTTCACCACCCCAGCTCAATGTGCTGCCGTCTCAGGCACAAATGTAAACAAACTGCACTGGGGTTTACTGCATCAGACTAATTTCACATGAAGACGCGCCCATTATTTAGAAGTGTAATGGCTTCTGCCAAGAGTCAGCTGCTTATGGGCACTATACTCTAATTTTTATTGTGGTTTCATAAATTATCTTTCATCCTACAAATGTGTGAGAAAACACAATGTTGGAACTTAAACAAAAGATTATGGAGGAAACTGACATAGCTGTAGAAAATCCTATTCCTCCTAAATGCTTTCAAATATATTATCAAATATGAACACCATCATTTCTGCAAAGTAATGTAGTTGTGATGTGAGTTCATATTTTAGAACATCTCAAGTCCTATAGCTGGGATTTTCAGTCACCCAGTGTAGATCCAAATCTGATCTCCTTGAAGCCACATTTTTCTATTGAATTCAATAAGGGCAGAAATGGAACAATAACAAAGATTTTGAAAAATTCCACATTTTTTTTAATTGTTGCATTTATGTGTAATTTTTTTGCTTGTGAAAATTATGTTGAAAGTTCTGAAGACTGAAGTCTTCTTGATGATGCAAGGTTATTCTAAACCAGTATGCTCAAGTATACTTTAATCCTGGTTTGTAGGGGGGGACTTTTGTAGGTAAGAGGGTGACAAACTGCAAAT